TCGTTCATTGCTTCTCCATTTGTCTTTGCCTTTGTCAGTTCTGACTTGCAGCCATTTGTCTGTTGGTATTTCAACAGGAATTTTGAATGTCACTCTTCGAGCGCCTTTGGGATGAGGACTATCAGGCCTTCGTTGATTGTATTTGCTATCGAAATGTTGGCCCATATGACCAGTCTCTTGGTGGTTCTAGCATGGGGCGAAAGGGATTGTTTCGAAGGCTCTGGCCATACTTTGATCGTACACAACAGAACACCTTAGGCACACTAGGCATTTGGTTGCCCCTTTGTAACAGCGAACCAAGAACTCCAACAAACTTTCTCCAGCTTTAGGATAACACCTGAATAACTGGTTATCCTGGCGCCAGTTGATGCCAGTTCGTGCCCTTTGTACCCTCTCGAAATTTGCAGCAATTCTCTGGTTGCAGATGATGCTGCACCTAGGGCATAGTATCATTTCAGCATCTCCTTTGTGGCACAACATGAGGTAATCATTAAGACTGACATCCCCAGCATAATTATCCTCCATTTTATACTTTTCTTTTTCTAAGTATCTCTCCACCTCCTCCATTTCAGAACGAGGTCTCTCCATATTCACCATGTTTACATCCACATCCTCCCTCTTTATGTCATCATCTCCCCATCCTGTAGGTTTTATATCTTCCATTTGGATTTTTGAACTCTCTGGGGCAGAATACTTAACCAAGTAGTCAAACTTTCCACTGGGCTCCCCTAAAGTATCCCATATTTCTTTCTGAGGGGAGGGTGGCTTCGTGATCTGGACTTTCTCCAATTCTAGCCTCAGGCCTTCAGTAACCTGTGTCAACTCTTGCTTTTGGTTTTCCTGGCCTTCAGTAGCCTGGATTTCTTTTGCAACGGCTAAAGGTGCTGCTTTGATCGAAGCCTCTGGTTGCTTGTGGACGTCCTCAGTGACCCCCTTGTTGACTTCGACTAACACCCAGCTTTCATTCTCGGTGCCTTTCTCTCCTAATGGAGTGTCATTTTGATCTGCTTCCACCATATTGATTTCTCCAATGCATACAGGCTCGGAGTAATTGGTGTCTGTGACATCCAAAGGATCTTCATCTACTTTCATTTTTGGTTTGTCAGTGAATTTCAGTCTGTCATCCTTAATTGCATTTTGAATTAGATCCCTGAAAAGAAAACACTGTGAGGTTTTGTGGCCTAGGAAACTATGATACTTACAAAATCCTATTTTCTTCCTTTGATCTAAAGGAGGTATTTTGACATTTGATGGCACAATGAGTTGGCCATCTTTGACAAGTAAATCAAAAATCTCGTCACACTTAGTTACATCGAAGGTATAAACCTTCTTTGGAAATTTGTCACTTTTCTCATTTTCAACAATTTCTTTCCCTTTTGTGGGAACTAATAATTTGCAAGAGTAAGGTGGGGCCTGTTTTAATTCAGCGAGATCAATTTCGACCTCTTCGAATTCAGGGTAATCTTCTGCTTCCTCAGCTCCAACATAGGAGACCCTTTCTTTCTTGTTATTTTTAAAAACTCTGGCCTTTTCGTCCTTTAGCCTTTCCACTTGTCGAACCCTATCGGCTAACTGAGTCATATCCCTCAAGTATTGTGTATCTAATTTCTTTCGAATAAAGTAATCCAGGCCGCCAGCAGCCATTTCGACTAACTCATGTTCAGGAACTACTGTAAAGCATCTAGATTTCAAGAGCCTGAATCTATTCAGATAATCATCTATGGGTTCAGTAAACTTCCTCTTGACACTAGCTAGTTCCTTCAGACTTATTTTAGATTGTCCCATGTAGAACTGTTCATGGAATAATCTCTCCAACAGAGCCCAAGTATCTATGGACCCAGGAGGTAAAGTGGTGAACCATGTGAAAGCGTTCTTAGTTAAGGAACTTGGGAAATATTTGATCCTAAGGTCTTCATTATTTGCTATATCTCCTGCTTCGGTTAGATACCTGGCTATGTGTTCGACTGTTGATTCATTGGTATCTCCAGCGAACTTTGTAAACTTAGGGACTTTATATCCCCTTGGTAAATCAGTGTGCATTATGTAATCTAATATAGGAGAGGCATAATTTGGCCTTCTAATTCCTGTGTTGAGGCCATTCTGGGCCATGATTCTCTCTATCATGGTGGTTAAATTATTTTCTGCCAAGATGTTATCGTTTCGAATTCTGTGAAGGACTGCATCAGCATCTTGATTTCGACCCACCATGACAACTCCTCTAGGTTGTTCTTCTCGAATCTCTGGGACTTCTAACCTTTCGATCCTTGCCCCTGGTTCCATAATTTCCCTTTGTGGGCCTTGAATCATTGGGGCTTCTAACCTTTGTGCCCTTGCCCCCAAATTAACCCCCTCTCTGGCTGGTCTATAGGGTGGGTCATCAGCAACTTGTTCTATGATAGGTACGTTTGCTCGAACTCCCGCCTAATTCTGCCTACGCCTTTCTGGGGGAGCGAAAAAATCTGCTATTCGACTCATGTTATCCGCGTTTTCTCTGTTTGTCACAGTTACATTTTGTACTATTGGGGAAAAGATCTCTTGCATAGTTTGCGCTAACACTCCTATCATATTATGGTTACTGTCATCCATTAATTGCCTAAAGGCCAACTGATTTTCTGTGGTTAAGATATGCATTGCACTATAACCCACTGACCCTTGGTTATTTGTCATAAATTGATTTGCCCCGGATCCAAACCCTAATTGTGGTGATGTATTCGATGTCGAAGTGTGCAGACCCGCCATAAAAGATGTTGGCATCCCATAAGAGGAATTTTTGTGTCTGTTAGCATCGAACCCGGGTGGTCTAGTTAGTGGGGTGGAGAAATGGGTTTGTGTCCCTGATGGTGGGACGAATCCCCCAGGATAACCAATGGTTCCTGTATTGCCTAGGATCGAACTGTTAGTCGTCATGCCACTTGTTCCATTCGTGGTTATACTACTGGTAGAAGATGCAACAGACTGTGCGTTCGAAGGGAACGTATTAGATGTTCCTGTCGAAGCGGACATATTAGTGCCTGTTGCATGTGGGATATTTTGTTCCCCCTGTTGATTGTCTGGATTAGACATCTTGTTTAAACGTTTTCTTCTGGGTAAGGGTTGATTGCTATTGGTTATTCTACCACTTCTAAGGTTCATAAAACAACGAACTTATCACTCAGAAAGTACTTTTACAATGGTTATGTCTCAACAATCTTTACTTTGTTCTAAATTTCGTGATGACCAATGACGGTCCCACCAGGTGTGTCAATTTGTTTACAGTGATTTCTGGTAAACAACCGCTAGTCCTCCAAACTATCAAATAATCTTAATGACTGTTATTTAATCTCTCTGGTAACTTGCAGGATCGACTAGATTGATCCTATGGTGTATTGGTCGTTTGAATAATTCTCATTGTAGAACTGATATTCATGGTTGGTATTTAGAATGTTGCATAGGCGTTCAACTTACTTCGATTACCATATTAAAGATCTAATGACATGATCAAGTAAAGACATGCGAAACTAAATTGCATGAATAAAGGTTCGATTGTAAAGACATGTAAAACTGCAAGAAACAAGTAAATAACTTTGAAGTATAAAAGCATGTAATGTAAAAGAGTTTCTGAAATGTAAAAGATTCAAAATAGAAAGAAAACGTTTAAATGCAAGAAATCAGTAAATGACTTTGAATGGAAAGATATTCGAATGAGGAACGCATGAAGATAAAAGCGTGAAATGCAAAAGAGTTTCTGTAATGTAAAGTACTCGAAATAGAAGGAAAGACTTTCAAATGCAAGAAATCAGTAAATGACTTTGAATGAAAAGATTTTAATGTAAAGGTTTTTGAATGATATTGACATGAAGATAGAAGATAAACTGGAAATGATAAAGAGTTTTACTGAATCATAAATATTTGGTGTTATCATACGTACATTGTTCGAGCATTCGTTTCCCTAGCCATGTGGTATTTTGAATGTTTACTGAATTTTGTACAATAGATATGACACACGAAATCCTAACGCTAAGACCTCTATTTATACTACTTCGACCATAACAGTCTTACCTATAAGATTCTGCCACGTTCAGAACATGCAGAGCACTGTCCCTCTCTAGCTTCCACGCGTCTTCGAATGCTCCAGCGCATATATTTTAAATTTCGAACATCCCGCTTGCGTTTGAATTTCAAATGTTTTGGCACTCTTCGCTTCGAACTCCTTTCTTAAACACAGTCTCATTACCACTTCGAGGCTTCTTTTAACTATATCTTCACAACTGTCACTCGAAGCTCCGAGCTTTGACATGTTCATTCGAAGAACTGCTTCTACCATTCCGAACCATGACATCTTGCTTTATTCCAACGAAACATCCAGCTTGCTTCGTTTCGAACTGTATCATCAAAATCTTCAGCCAACACATAGCTGTGGTCCTTAGATCGGCGTCACCCCTAGCAAGTCCGTTTGAATTGGGTCTTTATCGTTGCTTTTGGGCCAGCCCGGCCCAGTCCAGAACAAAACACATCACCAAAAGGGGAGAGAGAGCATCAAGTTGGACGATCGTGAGATCAAGGAGAAGGAGAGCAAGTGAAACGAAGCATCGAGGGACTGATTATTTGACATCACCACAAGAGGTTTTAACTACATGCTACATGAATAACTTACCAAAAGACATCAGTGAGAAACATATCGCGAAATTATTTGAAAGATAAGGAAGGATATCGGATGTGTATATGGCAAAAAAGATAAATAACTCGGAATGGATTAATCAATGTGATGATGACAGTGATGAAGACTCAGATTCATCCCTCATCCCACCATTATGGGCGGCGATGGAAGCTAGTGATTCAAATTTAGTATCTTCTTTCATTCCACCCACCACCTACGGAGGCCATGGAAGCTGAAGTAGAAAAAGAGTGGCAGGAGAATAATCATGAACCAACCTTGAGAAGTCCAAATTGCATTAATTCTGTGGGGCTCGAGAAAAGGATTATTATCTCAATAAGACAAAAAGCAATATTGCAGGGAATTAATGATTCGGGGGAGAGATGATGCATATGCAGGCGGCGCTAGTGGGGCCGAATTTCCAGGCACTAATCAAAGAGGTCAAACAAATATTGAAGAAAAAACAAGCCAAGTCATAGAGGCAGAAACTTTAACACATGACCACATAGCTAAAGACGTGGACGACATGCATAAGGAGAGAGTTATAGATGACATAAATTGGGTCGAAACAGTAGGGAGTATGGGCTTAAACCATTTTAAAAGCCCATGCTTGTCTACTAACCCAAATACAGTAACTCCATGCGATGAGGAAACAACCCATAGGTTTACAAAGGAAATAAATAGTAGTACTCCAGAACAAAGGAATGCATCAAATAGAACGAAGACCCCGAAGCTTTCAGAGGCTAGAATGAAAATCGCTCTAACGGCACCAAAGGTACTTGAGAATGGAAACTATACACATGGCGACGATTAAGAAAATACCAAGCAAACTCAAAGTAAAGCCACAACATCCAAAATAGAAGAAGAAGAAGAAGGAGGAGTGCTATTCTTAGATAGAGAGAAAGAGCATTTGGTCGAAGAGAAAAAAAGAAAAGAATCAGAGATTTCATGCTCTTAAAGGAAAGGTAATCATACCCAGGTATCGAATTCCACTGATTTTAATTTGACATTGGATATTAGTTCATGGAGAGGCAAAAGAAATAGCAAAATATGTGTGGGACTTAGGCAAATATTTCGGTTTAATTCATAAAGTGGAGGAAGGAGAAATTATTCAAGAATTGGAGATTGGTGTAAAAAGGGGAACAAGGGTCAACTAGTTGTGCATAATCATCTTTTGGGATATGAGAGTTTTAGTTGATTCCATGTCCATGAAGATTATTAGTTATAACATTATAGGTCTTGGGGGGTTAGCTAAAAAGTATGAAGTGAAGGAAATTATCAGAAAACAGAAACCTAATTTTTCATTTTCATTCAAAAAACAAAGATGGAACACATTGACAAAAGATTATGTTTTTCGTTATGGGGGTCTGATGTTTTCGATTTTGTGTTCAAACTTTCTGATGGCAGATTTGGAGGTATCTTGGCTATATGGGACAACACTAATTTAACAATAAGGAACATCCAAAGTATAGAACATGCAGTGTGGATGGAAGGAAATTGAGGGGAGGATAGTAGAGCTGTGATATTAGTTGTTATTTATGCACCTTGTGACAGAAGAAGAAAAGCAAATCTTTGGACAGATCTACTCAATAGAATCGATCTGAACATGGAAGCAAGAATTTGTCTTATGGGAGATTTCAATGCTATTAGGGATAAAAATGAAAGAAAGGGAGGAAGGGAATATGGTTAGATTGGAAGAGGAAGAAGAGTTTGACACTTTTATATCTGAAGCGGAGTTGATAGACCTTCCGTTGCAAGGTAGAAGGTTCACATGGAATTGACCTGGGGGTACAGTGATAAGTCGATTAGACAGATTTCTTCTATCCGATAATTGGTATAGAACATGGCCGAATTACAATCAGTGGGGTTTAGACGAGTGTTTGTCTGACCATTGTCCGATCGTGTTATGTGTTAAGAAACAAGATACATATATGGAATAAGGTTTGAAGCAAAGAAGATTAATCTTATTGTTGAGAAGTAATGGCTATTATATAGCCTTACATCAGTTACAGGAAGAGGAAAAATACCACGTAACCACTACTCCTACAAATATGGAATGAAAGCTAACTTAAAGGAAAATAAAGCTAACAGACCAATTGAATAGGTCTTTTATTAACATCAAAGAAAACACCCACTAAACCCACTAACAACTAGTAATGCGTGTTAACTTCTGTCCTCAACATCCTCCCTTAAACTGCAACTTCTCATTTTAACTTCTGGTTTGCAGTTTACTTCAATTTCAGAGCAAACACCAAGAGACTTTCGCAACTTCAAGAATACTCCCAGCTTCAATGGTTTGGTCATAAGATCTGCTAATTGTTCTTGACTAGCACAATAAATCAAACTTACAATTCCTTCTTTGGACATCTCGCGAAGAAAATGAAATCTGACATCAATATGTTTACTGCGGCCATGCAAAACTGGGTTTTTAGACAGCTTAATAGTAGAACTGTTGTCGCAGTTAACCGATATGCCTTTACTCTCAGAAATCTGATTTAAATTTGATAGTATCCTTTGTAACCACACTGCTTGACAAGCACAAGAAGCAGCAGCTATAAATTCAACTTCTGTGGTGGATAAGCTAACCACTGGTTGTTTCTTTGAGCACCATGAAACTGCTCCAGAGCTAAGCATGAAAACATAGCCGGAAGTGCTTTTCCGATCATCTACGTCACCTGCATAATCGCTGTCTGTGTATGCCACAAGTTCATTTACTCCACCCTTTTTGTAAAGAATTCCAAAATCAGCAGTTCCCTTTAAATAGCGTAATACCCGTTTTGCTACCAACATATGTTTCACCGAAGGATTCTCCATGTAACGGCTAAGGAGACTGACAACGTATGACAAATCAGGCCGTGTAGCAGTTGTTAGATACATGAGGCATCCAATAAGTTGCTTATAATGTGACTTGTTCACCCTCTCATCACTGTCAATTTCTTTTGTGGTCTTCATTCCTGGTACTATAGGATTTTGCACAGAATTCGAGTCATTCATGCCAAAGCGTTTTAATACCTCCAAATCATATTTCTTTTGAGATATAAAAATACTGTTGTGCAATTGCAGAATTTCAATACCAAGGAAATATCGCATCTTACCGAGATCTGTCATATCAAATTCTTGCTTCATAGAACTCATAAAAGAAGTGAACATTAAAGGATCATTACCGGTATAGATGAGATCATCAACATACATACTCACAATTAAGATCTTGCCTCCCTGGTCTGTTTTGATGAATAGAGTGTGTTCATAATCACACTTTTTAAATCCCATCTTCAGAAAATGTGTCTCTATCCGACTATACCATGCTCGCGGGGCCTGCTTCAGGCCATAAAGAGCTTTCTTTAGTCGGTATACCTTGTCTTCATTCCCCTTCTTGACATATCCACACGGCTGTTCCACAAACACCTCTTCTGCTAGTTCGCCATACAAAAATGCTGACTTGACATCAAGTTGGTAGAGAGGCCAACTGTAATGTGCTGCAGATGCTAGAATTAGACGAATGGTTTCCATTCGTGCTACAGGAGCGAACACTTCATTATAGTCGATGCCGTGTTGCTGTGTATACCCTTTTGCTACTAATCGGGCCTTGTATTTGTCAATCTGACCAACTTCATTGTACTTGGTCTTGTAAATCCACTTGAGACCAACAATCTTTCCACCACTAGGCAAATCTACCAATTCCCACGTATTATTCCTTTTTATGGATTCCATTTCAGTATCCATTGCCTGCTGCCATTTGACACTTTTAACAGCCTCCTCAAAAGAAGTAGGATCACCATCACACGTAAACAAGGCTAAGTTAGAGAAAGAATCAACAAGTTCTTCATCGGAAAGATCTTCACCAGTAACATAATCATTCATCCAATATGGTTGTCGGCGGTCTCGTACTGGATAACGTGTTGATGCATCAACTGGGGCTGATGTATGATGCTCAGGCTCATCATGGTCAGCGACTTGATCAGCATTTTCAGCCTCAGGTATTTCAGAACTGCTGCTGCCAACATCTTTCTCTTCTTCCCACTCTAACTCATACGCCGTGGAAGATTCAGAATTGGTGTGCCAATTCCAAGCCTTATCTTCTTCAAAGACGACATCCCTACTAATGATGATTCGTTTGGAAACTGGATCATATAGTCGGTATGCTTTGGATACATCACTGACGCCAAGTAAAACACAAGGAAAACTCTTGTTATCGAGTTTGGTTCGCTTAGCATCAGGAACATGAACATGGCCAATGCAACCAAAAACCCGAAAATACTCAACTGAAGGTTTGATGCCACTCCAGGCTTCTTCCGGGGTTTTATTTCTTACAGCAAGAGTAGGACTGCGATTTAAGATGTGCACAGTCCAATTGACAGCTTCCGGCCAAAAAGTGCGAGGAATTTGTTTGTTGGACAGCATGCTTCGAGTAAGATTCATTATAGTTCGATTCTTTCTTTCAGCAATGTCGTTCTGTTGTGGAGAATATGCGGCTGTCAATTGGTGTTGGATACCATGCTCTGCACAATGTTGCATGAATTCGTGAGAAGTAAACTCTCCTCCTCGATCTGTGCGTAGGCCTTTGACAGCATGACTAGTTTGTTTCTCAATGTGAATCTGGAAACTTTTGAAAACACCTAGAGCTTCTGATTTTGCAGTCAAAAAATAAACCCATGTTTTGCGGCTGAAATCATCGGTTAAAGTGAGAAAATACCTTTTTCCACTGTTGGATTCTGGTTTAATTGGCCCACAAATGTCAGCGTGAATCAATTTTAGAATGTGATCTGCTCTCCATGTACTATGTGTAGGGAAAGACTCTCTATGTTGCTTCCCAACCAAACAATCTTTGCATGTCTTTGTTGAATACTTCAAGTGGGGCAGTGCAGTCACCATCTTTTTCTGAACAAGAGTTTGGAGTCCCTTGAAACCTAAATGTCCGTACCGACAATGCCAAAGATACCATTCATCCTCAGCAACAGTGTTAAAACATGTAGAAGACTTAGGTTGAGCCACGGCATTTAGAATAAACATTCGATTGGCAGCCATCTTTGTTTCCATGAGGAGACCTATTTCAGGATGAAATACTTTGCATTTTCCACCTTCAAACATGATAGTTAGGTTTTTGGCTTGCAGTTGTCCAATGCTTAGTAAGTTGTTCTTCAATTCAGGCACAAAGAAAACTCCAGTAATGATATGCACCCTACCATTTACTTGCAACCTTATATTGCCCATGCCCAGTACATCCATAGAAGTATTGTTCCCCAATTTAACCGAGTCACGATAATTTTCATCAAGATCAGAGAAAGATGATTTCATACCACACATGTGATTGCTGCATCCTGAATCAAGGAACCATTGATTTTCATAAGAGTGTGTTGTAATATCAACCTGCGCCATGAGTAGCAATTCTTCTTGACTTTCAGCATAATGAGCCTCATTCTCCTTGGATAAACATTCCCATTGGAAATGTCCCAGCTTGTGGCATTTGTAGCATTCTACGGTTGATCGATCACGACTTTGTCTACCACGACCTCTACCTCGAGCTCCACAACCACGTCCCCGACCTCCAAAAGTAACAGCCAGAGCATGCTCTTCTTCAATAGAAGGACACATACGCTGTTCATGTAGAAGCAACTTGCTTTGAAGTTCATCAATGGTCAGTGCATTTGTGTTGTTTGACTCCTCAATAGAACATACAACATAGTTGAACTTTGGAGTCAGCGACCTCAAAATCTTACTCACAACATCGCTGTCATCTTTGTTTTCACCACAGGCTTTCATCTTATTGACGATTGTAAGAATTCGAGAGAAGAGGGTCGTTATTGTTTCTCCTTC